ACAAACGAAATGAAAAAAAAAAAAAAAAAGCGATAATCAATCAGCAAACGCGCAACAGGGAAAGCGTGTCTCGTTCGACACCACTAGAGAACCCTAGAGTCTCAAGCGCGCCCTGACCCGAAAATTGTGATTAAAAAATACTTACTGCAATCTTCATTCCATGTGCACTTCACAAAATACTTGAAACGGCCGCACTTGAAACCGAACTCAACGGCTTGACCAATCCTGGACCAGGATCGCCTTTTGGAAAAAAAGAAAAACAAGAAAAAGCCCCACTTGGAGTGCTGGCAGTATGCGCTGGCACTTGAACTCAAGGCTCCCGGGAGAGGTACCTTGAGCTCAAGTGCGAATTTACCCCGGCAGCACTTGAGTTTCGAGGGTAGAAACAACTCCGCGGCCAGGTTAGGGTGGGGTCAAACGAAGAATTTTCCTTCAAGCCTTTTTTTTTTTTTTTTTTTTTTGAAACAGCCTGGATGATACTAGGGGTGCTGGTAGGAGCAGATTTTCCTTCAACCCTTGAGTTCAAGTGGTGTCGAAAGAGGCCCTAAGAAGAAAGAGCCCCAAGATTTAGAAAGCCTTTGGCATCTTGCCCAGCACTTATTTCAATTGCTGCGATGACAGTGGAGAATACCTTCAGAGATTTTTTTGCAGGATGATGTTTAGATTGCCCTGGTGTACCYGGCCAGGCCATTAGGAGAGGGAGGAAAGGGTTTGATATGGGACGCTGGACCCGGTTTCCAGCAAAGTGGTTATGTCCTGAGTTCTGATGGCTTCATGTTCAAAGATGTACATTTCAAAAGGGATGCTGGGTCCGGTTCCTAGCACGTGCTGCTCCCCAGGAATAGATCGGAAGCTGTCTCAAAAAAAAAAAAAAAAAGAAAAAAAAAAAAAGAAAAAAGAAAAAGAAAGCCCCAAGCATCCAACCCATGAAGCAACACACACTGCAATGAACAAGGATAAACAAACAAAAGGATAAAACTATCAGAATGTGCTCCATCTTCTTTGTTTTTCTTTTTTTTCTCTTCTTCCATCCACTCGAAGGGCCTTGCTAAACACTCGTTAGAGCGTCGCCGGGCCTGAGGACGAATCGCTGGAATCGTTCGACTCATCCTCGGAGCATCGGCTTAGAGAGATGTCCTTGGAGATTTTTCGGGGGAAAAAAAAGAGAAAGAAAAACAGTTGTGCTTCAGGCTTTCAGCCAGTACGGTGCCACCACGATCCGTATTTTTCGCTGTAACTCTGTAACCTCTCCACACTAAGTCTTAGCACGTGTATGCCCTCTCCATTCCGTAAAAAAGTGGCTCCTCGACTCCAAGGGACTCCAAGGGACTCCCAGGGACTCCCAGGGACTCCAAGGGATCTCACGAGGTCCCTTGGAACCCAGGCCCTAGGACGAAATGGCTACCGTCTTCCCGCATCCTCATTTTGGCTGTATCTGGCCGGAAATATAGCTTGTATACATTCATTTTTAGGGTGCGTTATGTTCGGGGGAAGATGGTAGGGAGGCCTTGGAGGTCAAGGATTCGTCCCTGGAGCGTTTTCACATTTTCACTTTCAACAACTCGTCCCCAAGGACACGGTGGAACGACAACGATAACCTTGGTGGCCCGTGGAATTGCGTCCTCAAGGAGTGTCTGACGAGGCCCTTAGAGAAGGGTGAATGAAACCTTGGAGGCTTGAGAAAACGGGTCTGAGTCACACAAAAAGGCCGAAAATACCAGCTGTGGAGGCTGCCTTGGCCGAGGTTGACGTGTCAGCAGGCCAGTGAAGAGACCCCAGCTGTTTTCAAACTGGATGGCGGGGACGCTGTACTCCCAATCTATCTATCAAAGTCTTGCTTGTTTGATTGAGTACTTGATGACCTCTTCTCAAATCGTCGGCGGTGTCAGGTGCCTCGCCCCTCCTCTTCACTGCGGAATTACTGAGGCCCGGGGTCCAGAGTATCCACAGTACAGCCCCCTGGATTTGTTCTTCCGCAGCACATGTGTATCCGGCGCACAACGGTCTTCGTAGTGATGCTGTCACAAGAACCGCAGAGTGATCTGTCCAGCGCGTGTCTGGTC